CCCCAAAACCCCAAAACCCCAAAACCCCAGCATGTACCAGTAAGTTAGCATCAAAAGTATTTATGAAATAATTAAATTGCATTTGAATCACCTCTTAAGTACATTTACTTTTATTTGAAAGTCAAACATATCTTCCTGTTTGATTAGATAAAACTTTAGGTCGTCTATTATTTGCTGAGCTTTGAAACAAAAGCATTCAATGGGAATTGAAACATCAATTATTCCTAATTCCTTATCTTCTGAAGATTATTTCAAACCAATATAGATTTTAGACGAAAGTGTTCTCGAATATTCTTAGTCATTTTCAATTAGCTCAGGTTCATTACAGCATCTTAAGGGTCTTATTAGACATTAAAATTTATTTTCGGGATTTAAAGTTGTATCAAGTTAAAAAATCAATGATCTCAGTTTACTTTCTACAGAAGAAAAAAGCTTTTGATGATAGTATTTTACTTAGAGAGCAGTACTTTCTTCTTCACGTTTCTCAGTTTTGGAGAGAACATCTATTTGAATTGCAAATTAATATCCATTTGCAGGATCTAATTATTAATCTCTAATAAAGCTATCATATTCAAGTTTTAGATCCTTTAGTTTTAATTTTCCCTTGTATATTTTTTTAACAATGTTATAGGCTCTTTTGAATTCAAATTAATATATTTGTAAATGACTGTTCAGGACTTATTCTGCTGTATTAACAGAAAGATTAGTAATTTTTCCAATTTATTTAATTTTCGGTGTTAAAATAGGCATAAGATGCTATGAATCAGTGACAGAGCTAATTGGATTCCACAGCTTTTTATCATTTAACTTTAATTGAGTGAAATTGCTGAGCATGTGCTAATTTTCTTGGTCGTATTCATCATAGTGAGAATCTATGATTATTGGATTAGGCCATTCCCATTTACTATAAAATTTGAAAAACTTTAACAGCAGGTATTTGATAATTTTCTTTTAAATTTTCATTCCTTGATTGTTAAGATTTCTTAATTTCGGCTCCTATAAGAGCGCTTGAACTTTATCATCTTATGAGTAGGAAATCATTATATTTCCCACTAAAATTGCCCAAGCTATACCACCTAAAAAGCCATATTATTATCCATAAATTTTTCTCTATTAAGCCCATTCTTTAACATATATCAAGATCAATTTAAAAATTTCGACATCAACACCAGCTTGAATTATGATATCTCTTATTCTAGAGGATATTAACACTGCTTATAGTGTTTCCTCACTCTGCTTATCTAGAAGTACATAATCGTTTATTGATAAATCTTAAATTCTTCATTGATTAAGAATTAGAGCAAAGGATAGATCGATGTTTAACTTTTATTTATAAATCATCTTAATAATTGGAACTTTAGCTTATTAAATAGGATAAACCTGCATTTCCTCTAGCTTACTTTCATCAATTAATCTCTAAGCTAGGCTATTGAAGAAAAAGTCTTTTCTCAAGTCTATGGAATCCTTAAAAATCCTTTGTAAATCATTGGCTTTAAAGACCAAGATCAGATCATAATCTGATTCCTGAGTCTCTGCTCCTAAAAATGAGCTTCCATATTGCAAAATCAAGTATTCCTCTACATCTGTTAATTTCTGAATGTGTTCTCGTAGTAGATGAATAAATTCCTTTTTAAGCTACTATCTATCAGATATTTCAGACTTTTATTGATATTATTATGTTTTATCCATGTTTGATATTAAATAAATACTTAAACCTTGCTTTGACTAATGTACTTACTATTTAACTATTCGGGGTTTTGGGGTTTTGGGG